CGTTATAATATACTTTAATCAGAATTTTTAAATAATCACGTGTTACTGTTTATAATACTGGCTTACCATATGTTTTGTACTTGCGTTAGTGAAATAAAAGTTTTAAAACAAATTTAGAGCATTCAGTTTCCTGTTGTAATGTCAGCAACACCTGGCCCAGAAAGTTGTTAAGATTGCCTCGTTCTAGTTCCTTCGTTTCTCCTGAGGGAGGGAAAGTTGCGGAGCTCAACACAGCTTAAGTAGAAAGGGCTGTCACTTTGTCTGTGTATGTACGCTTTCTGCATTACCAATTATTTGTTATAATAAAGATTTTGTTCATTTATTCACATTTGTCAGACTCGTTATGTTACAGTTAAAGGAACTCACTAAGGTTGTCAACTACAAAACCATTCCTCACATCTTGATTGAAGCTGCGGGTGTGTCAATGTAATACTTGTTGGGAAATTGGTCTTACCTGAAAATACTGCACAGATAACCTTACATTTAATTATATTAAGTACGTTATGTTAACGCGATTTTGGAGCCTCACCACATCGTTAAAATCCATACTGCCACGTCCAGTCACGCTCCATTTGACGACCGTGCAACTTGATAATACCCTGCAACGTAGTTTCCATTATAAAATCTCCCTCGAAAGACTCTGATGTTGAAAGCACACCATTCGTCATTTCAGCTTTCCATAATCCATCTAGTGTGTTAATGCAACGGTTTCACAGCGCCCTTTTTCACAGTCCGATTTCAAAGAAATTCATAGGCATGCACCTGACGACTTGAAAACCCGTTGATTCATAGTACTTTGTTTTTCAGTCTCATTGAGTACAAGGAATGTTCACGTGTTATAAGTTATAAATATCTGATGTGGATCCATCTTTATGGTCGGAGCGTATGTATATTTTGCGTTGGAAAATATTCCTTTTCTCTTTCAATTTTCTGTGGCATTACACTACCTACGAAACGCCAAAGAATGTAAATGTAGCAGTGGTATACGTAGTTCCATCGCGAAATTATATCGGCTGTGGTTGTCACATGATTTGTATATTCAAATAATCTTAATATAACTTACTCAACCCTATGTATATATCGAATCGTGGTACTAAAACTTGGAGGCAAATTAAGACTTGATTGTTCACAGAACAATTACTAAGTAGTTCCAAATATTCGCTTTTCTCTCAAGTCTTTATTGTTTTTCAGTGATAACCAAGAAGATGAACTTCTGACTTTCAACGTGTTTCACACTTGGGAAAAATCGTTTTGACTCAGCATATGAATTTAGGACTAAACTAAATGTCCTAAATGGTGAAACTTGGGGAGATATTATGAAGAATTAATTTCATTAGTTTATATATATTAATTATGATTTATCAAATTTGATCATAAGTTATTGATAACTGTTTATAATGTCATGTACATTTCGTATACTGACATTTATTATTTCACTTAATCACTCGCCATATTTATAATTAAATTTGATTAATGTTTAGTAAGCACGTATTTGAAAAGATGGGGAATGCTAAGGCTCCTGAACGGTTAATGGATACAATTTCTATATTAATACCAATAAAACAGACATTATTAGTTTGTAAAATAATGAGTTTTTTTTTATAAAGCTTTCAGTTTAAGTTAATTATGTGACTATTTGAGACTGTCGTTTACAAGCATGTTTTTTTTGTTTTCTTTAAAGTGCTCGTATGATGTGCCAGACTGTTGAGCTGAGGTTCTATGGCTGTGTTATAAGAGTGACGGTCAAATCCCACTATTCAGTCTGATGAGAGTAGCCCAAGATTTGGCAGTAGGTGGTGTTGAATAGCTCTTCTTCCCCCTAGTCTATCACTTCAAAATTAGAGACGGCTATGGCAGATAGCCCTCATATAGCTTTACGCGAAATCCAACAAAATAAAGCAAATAACAACAACAACAAAAAAACTACAATAATACAAGTGTTTAAATAATGATAACATTGGCGTTTGTAGCCGTTTTCCATTTTAGAATATGTTAGTCTTTTAAAAGATGTATTTTCACTTGCACTTTGAAAATTTGGTCTTGAATGGTAACATCATAACTTAAGGAATTTTTTATCTATCATTTCTACTAAAGAATCTGAATGCAGCTAAAGAATACTCCGTGCATGTAAAATAATGAGCAGAAAGCAAAACCCAAACCTAGGATGAAGTTAAAGTTTTCGAATAGTATTCGTGTCAGATAAAAATTGCAAGGATGATAGTATTGAGTATCCAAACGAAATCGTTAGTACTTTGTACTATTTTTTCAATTTTCAAATATATATTTTAGTACCTTTGTAAAGTACTAAAAGCTCATTTTTATTTCGAATCGCTGGTCTTCGTTCTTATAGTTTTTTAACGTACTTACTTTCTGTATCCTATTTAAAAACACAAGGTAGTCTGATGGAAAAGTCGAACATCCATTGATTTCTGACATAATATTTCCGAAACACATACATATCTGGTTTTAAAAATTCAATTCCAATTCCTATTTGATTTCCATAAAATCGGAGTTTTTATTTCATGAATTATTTTACATAGAATTGAATTTGGCTGCTGATTGAAACTCCTTCAAATATCACCGTTATATTGAGTCTGAGACTACTCATGCGAGTTATCACAGTCGACTTAGTTCAAAGTAGTTCGAAGCGGAAAGCCAAGCAGATACTCTACACAAACTGCATAGAGTAAAAATGCAAATGTCGAATATAAGGAAGAATAAAGAACTTCCATTATTTTATATTACAATCTATTGTCACTAGTGTGGAAATGAAAAATGATTAATCTTTTTTGTTTTTGAACATTTCGTTGTTTGAAAGAAAAACCCTTTTATTGCTATTTCTTTTTTTTTATGTCCGGCTGAATATATCCATTTAAGAACAGCTTATTTTACATAAAACCATTCTGAGAAGCATTTCGTCATACGTATCATCTTTGGAATTAAATCTTTACCTTACTCATCATCACCAACTACCTCATACATCAGAATAGAAGACAAAAAGAAAAACAAATAGCATGCAATAACGAAGGGCGACAGATAAAAAGTATAGAAAAGCTCATGCATTTACATTAAAAAACCCAATGCATTCTTTCTATACAAATATAACTGATTTGTATAATTCAAAATTATAGAAATTTAGTACGATTTAGAAATTCTTGAAGAAAATATATCTCGATGTTTGGAAAAGTTGTGTACATGATGATATGGGGTTTTACTAACTTTTGTTCTGTTTGTTTTTAAATAAAATCCATCTTAAGTCTTCATAAAATATATATGATCAATTAAGTTTGGTAACGTCGAAACTATTTTTCAATAAAAATGATCAGTAGCACTAATGACGTAAACTTAGTCATTCAAAATATTGTTTTGCTTTCGAAATAAATTCAAGACTAAGTTCTGGAGAATAATATACAGTTATGGCCTGTAATTGGTGCAAGGATACCGTTTTGTTTATTCTTATGTGTAAACATACATAAACCTAATATTACTGTAATTTGTAGAGTATTTTAACTTCAGCATGGAAAACTACTGCAGGGAAACTAATCAAGTAAATACTTGTGATTGTATCTAACAATCGGAAAAAACCGATATAAGGATTACAATATTTGTAAAATAAATGATCGAAATATTTTAATAGGAAAGCATTTCTGCATAATTAAAAAAATACTCAGAATATTATTAGGCATCAAAAATTTATATTTATTACTGCTAGTATCATATTACGTTTAACTTAGTTCTTTTGTTGTTGTTATTAATATATTAAGAAATGCCATATGAACTAGTATATTGAATAGAAACACCGAATTAAATAGAAATTGAACTCAAAATATTGCATTAAGTTCACATTGTTTACAGCTTTTGTATTTCAATACATCTTGACCAACAATTATACCATTAGATGATAAAGGATTTTAAAAATGTCATAAACATTTCATGTGGCAATAGATCAAGTGCATAATTATAAGATATAAATTTAACTTAGGCCAAACAATACAATTTCATATGTTAAAATAGGTAATATTTTAAATTTGTTACTTTTATTATTGTTCTAGGTTATTCAGGGCAGGTTTTAATATCCCGATACGTAACTTGTTGTTCTAAATTATTCAGGGCAGGTTTTAATATCCCGATACGTAACTTGTTGTTCTAGGTTATTCAGGGCAGGTTTTAATATTCCGATACGTAACTTGTTGTTCTAGGTTATTCAGGGCAGGTTTTGATATCCAGATATGTAACTTGTTGTTCTAGGTTATTCAGGGCAGGTTTTAATATTCCGATACGTAACTTGTTGTTCTAGGTTATTCAGGGCAGGTTTTAATATCCCGATACGTAACTTGTTGTTCTAGGTTATTCAGGGCAGGTTATAATATATCCCGATACGCAACTTTTTCTTTCAATGACAACAATCTTACGTCTACGAATATTATGTATAAAACAAACGGCATTCGCATGGGTAGGAAATCGTGATTTTTGTTATCTAATTTGTACTAACTATTAGAAACATGGTCTAATAAACATTTCAGATTTCGTTCGGAAGTCATTTTTATGTATATTTGTTGTTAATTAATATATACTAACTATTACAAATCTTGTTTAAAAACCAGTTCGTATTTTATTCCATCTGCATTAACGTCACTCTATAAAAACTAGAATTCGACAATGTGAAATTTGATTGCGAAATAAGAAAACATTTTCGTACATGTTTTACTTTATTGACATATATTTAAGTCCGTCCTTTGTTCACTGAGTTAAGTACAAAAACAAATAACTGAATAAAATTCATATTATATTTACACTAATAGAGGAATTACTATAGATGAAGTTGAAACTTTAATATACAATAACGAATATCTGTGGGTGTTAAAATTATATACTTATGTTTACCATAACAATACGTTCACATTGTGACTACTGGTTTTATTCAATTAGAAAAATCTGAAAGTATTATGCTAATAAAGATATACCATAAACTTTCAGTTGAAAGTGCTCAAATAGTTTATTATAACCTATGATGTTTATATTTTAAAAAGGAGCCAGTGATAAGGAACTATATTTTTTTAACTCAGACACGTGTCATTGGTATCGCTACTTGTTGAATCGCAGTAGGACAAAAACGTCATTGTAAATCGTTTTCAATTTGCGCCACTTTGATTTCAGAGTGCAATAACCAGTGGGTTGCACGTTTTATTTCGGATGCAAACTGTGAAGAAATCCCACTCTTCCAGAATTACAACAGATAGTCTAGGTATTTCTTCTTGGAAAGTAGTCTTTGGTATGAAACTTCGTAATGATGAACAAATGTTTGATTTTAATCATATATGAATCACAGACTTAAACGTTTGCTACTAAACACTGCTTGAGGAGGCGTTGACAAAAAAATCATTTTTTTTGCTATACAGCAAATTCCCACATAATTTGTAGAAAGTACTGGATTTTGTGTTTGTCACCCTTTACTGGATTGTGTCACTGGATAGAAAAAAAGAAGGCAAAGATATATTTCAATTTAAAGTCATTATTCTCTCTAATTTTACCACGTTTTAGAAGTAGTATTGCAATTAACTATAACATATAATGAATATGTATGCAGACTTCATCTTAATAACAACTGACTAACTTTAAAAAAATTAAGTAAAGGCTAATTTCTAAACGACCAAACACAAAGTCTGATTGCAACTTAAATAAAATTATTTTGTTTATCTAATGACCAGTGCTATTAGTCTTAACCTTGTATGGAAGCAATGAGTGATATTATTGAGCGAGGAAGCGAACCCCGGATTTTAGCGTTGTAAGTCCGTAAACTTATCGCTGTTGCACCGAACGACATAAACAACAGCAAAAACCAATTATTTAATACTTAGAACGCTGAAATATTTAGTAACTAGGTAAACAAGTAAACTAATCTTGTACATTTTTTGTTTTCTTGTAAATTGATTTGTGATATTTAATAGCTCTAGTTAGTTTGTTATAATGGATCAGCTTTACTGATCATCAAACTAGCTCATTTTTGATTAGAAGTTCTTAATGATTAATAAACTTGTAATTTCACTTAGAGATTTTTAAAGAAGGTAACTTACCTTTGTGTCAATTATCTAATTTTGTTTTCAGTTTTTATAGCTCAGATACATAGAAGAAGTGGGAAAACTTTGTGATGAATAATGCAAATGCGAATTGCATCCGTATAGTCCAGTTAAACCACATACGCTATCTGGTAAAGTTGCTATTTCGTGTGACGAAGAAGATTCGTTGACGAACACAGCTTGTCTAAAACCGTCTGAGCATGAACCAACAGGGTGTGTCAAAGTCATTTGGGGTGTCAGGGTGCCCTCTCCGAAAGGTAGTGGTTGGGAAGCTGCAGTTGAAGTAATCCCCGTAGATGTAAAAGTTACATTTGTATTATTTATTCTTTTTACTGTAGTATGGGGTAATTCATTACCACATATTTCGTCCTTCGTGTTTTGGAGTTTCCTTTGCGATAAAGGAAATGATCTAAGAGACTTATCTGTGATACTCTCGGTATCGGCGGGATTTTGAGGATCATGGTGGGCTAGAGATCTTGAAAGACTAGCAGTGCAAGAGGAATGGAATTCCGCTGTTGATCGTTGAGGATGTAGTGAGTCGTCTGATATTGCAGTCTGGGCCAAGGACCAAATTTTAGGACGAGTGTCACTGGGTTCTTGGCTCGAAGAAGTCGAATGAGTAGATGATAGCACATCTAATTTCTCTGAGGAAGGATCGAAGGATGAAATTTTCACTGATAAGTTCATGGATTCCAAGGCCCTACCTTTTGCGTTTTGCGACAACGAATTTGTCGTAGAAGATTCGCATAAAATATTTTTAGGTAAATTATTAAAAGCGCAGTCGACCACTGTGCCTTCATTTCGCGAGTCTTCTCTTGGTTCAAGAAAATCACCAGTAGGATTGTTGATTCTCTGAACTTCCGGTAGAGGAATACTGTCTACATTTAAAGGGAAAATATTGAAGTTACTTACAATAATGAAGAATCATTTGTGTAAGCTGAAGATATGCTACTGAAGTTCACATTGAGTTATTAAATAGAAATACATAGTTAATGCCTTATTCTATCATCAACATTTATTTTCATGTAAATTTAATTAATGAAAACTGAAAAGAACTATCCATATTTTGTAATTTCAATATTTGAGGTCTTAAAATATTTTGAAGTATAAGACAATTTTAGCATAACATATGTTCTTTTTACCTGAGAACTTTCAAATGTGTTATTTATAATTTTATTTTTAAAACAAATAAATACATACATATTTTATCAAATTGTTTAGAAACATGTATTTGTCAACATCAAATCATCTTATTGGTAGTTAGAACCCAAGTGAAAATATGAAGAACAAATTATTAGTGGGTGAAGATACTTTTATTACTGCAGCATACGTATATATATATATATACATATGAATAAAAGGGTTTGTGATAAGGAAAAGATATATATTTACCTTCATACTTTTACTTACCTTTATATATATATATGAATAAAAGGTTTGTGATAAGGAAAAGATATATATTTACCTTCATACTTTTACTTACCTTTATATATATATATGAATAAAAGGTTTGTGATAAGGAAAAGATATATATTTACCTTCATACTTTTACTTTTTTTAGTGCATTACGTTATTTATGATTATTCATAATGCGAATTACACAAATAACACATATATACATAAAAAACAAAATTAAGCGGCGATGGTATTTTACTTTACGGTTTATATTACAACAATAATAAACACAAAAGTTCAGTCATTTTGTTAACTAATGAACTGCTCTCCGTTACTTTGGCAGCTTATAACACGAACTATCGGGGCTCGATATCCGCGGTGAGCACTGTTTGTTTGTAATTAAACACAAAGCTACACAATGGGCTATCTGTGCTCCGCCCACCACGGGTATCGAAACCCGGATTCTAGGTTTGTAAGTCCGCAGACATGCCGCTGTGCCACTAGGGGGCAGCCCATCGTGAAGCTTTAAACTTACAAACAAATGAAAAATAATGAGCTTCTTCCCGGAGTCGAAATAGATGGCGACACATGCATAGGATGAATATACCAATAAAAAAATTATCGTTTACTTTAGGCTACGCTAAATAAGAAATCTTCTCACCCAAGCCGAGCAGATCATTATTTCTATTTTTTTTTAAATAAACTAATACATTTCAATAAGCGTATGTTTACTAAAGAATTCATCTATATTAAACAGGGCTGAGGAAAGAGCAGTTGGCTTGATAATGTTTAGATTGTTAAAATATGTTTTCAAACAACTGGTTTTTCACATGATGTATCACACTTGTTATTTCTTTCTCCACATTTCTATGTTATACCTATTATTCCAAGTTAAAATATAATATACGGATATATAGTTCAAAATAGCACGTATTGACATATAGTGATATGCTTTTCCTGACACATTAATGGTTACCAGTTAAAATCAATTCAATATCGAGTAACTAAATGTTATTATTTCATGCTTGTTTCTACTGAACATATAGAAAGATAAATTTTAATACATTTCAACATTTCTCCGAGATTCAAAATTAGTACGCTACTGGTATAATCAAAACTGAGTAAAATTCTCGCCGTACCTCAGATAAAAATTGATGCCCCCCCCACTGGCAAGTCTGAAGGTTTATAACGCTAACGCTAATCATTGTGGATATAGCACTGATAGCCCATTGCATAGCTTTGTGCTTAACTCTAAACAAACAAATACATTCGTAAAATGTTTTCAGTAAATGAAACTCCGACATTTACCGATTAAAGACGAAGGGTAATTCGTGCTTGTTGACAATATTCAAGGGTTTGTAAATGTATTCATGTTTGTATGGGTAAAATAAGTTTATAGAAATATGTTGTTGACACGAACTCTATAACTTGGGTTTTTATAAGTTAGAATAATTACAGTACAACCTTCTGTATTGAAATGTTTTGTTTAATTAATTATAACAATTACTTCAGAATATCGTAATTTATTCTTTTGACAAAAAAGAAAAGGAAAATTCCGAATTTTTAATCAATATCAGTATTTGTTCTTTGATAATATATATAAATATATAATCTTAGAAAATGAAGACAAGGAATTACAATATTGCAGAAATAATGTTTATACATAATTTTGTTTTATATTTTCTTCTCCTTTTGTTTACCAGTAAGGGCATTTTCAATTTTATATATACGAGTCTTATAAGTTTTTCATTATGTAACAAAGTAACGTTAACAGTATCAGTTTGTTATGATGTCTGTTTACGAATCACCATGGCGATAGTACTTATGTGCCTGTGCGTAGTGACCAGTCGTAATGCATGGCTGATCAAACTCACAATTAAGTTATAACGTACCAATGTTGCAGATGTAAATAGACAGCTAGCTGTACATGATAACAGTTAGATGTATCGAGAAATTGAAGAAAACCAATTTTTAATATGTGAATATACAATTTGAGAAAATTCTTTACATATGAATTTCTAGATATGTAATTTTTTAATGCAGAAAATTAGGTAAGGATGATTTATATATATCTGTGTGTGTGTGTGTATGTGTTATTTCACCAAATAAAGCGAAATAAGAGAAATAAAATAAAAAATGTCAATAAAACTACATAATGTTTGACAATTATTTATTAATTCACAACAAATTATTTGATAAATATCATATGAGGCTTGATAATTAGTACCTAAAATTATGATTTTAATTTTGATATAGAAAAACAACTTGAAAGGCAGAATAAAATATTGATAGTGGATAAAACATATTTAGTTATTTTCATATGTTTCACACTACACGATACATTCATGTGGAAGATCCTAAAACAAGCAAATTGTTATTCAAACATGTAATTGTTACTTTTTTTATACACTCTGTAATATTTTACGTCTACATATTTAAAGGAATATAAAATAATGAGAGTTATGAGATTGGATAGATTTCCAAATATATTTAACCCTTTACATTTTGCAAAGAATATTCCCAAACATGTTGCATGAAAATGTCGTGATGACTTATCTCTATAACTGGGAATTTAAAACGATGATACTTGTGATTTCGTTTGTGTTGTAATTTACAACGTATTCAAATTATTTTAATCATCTTTAAACATGTAAGCGTTCAAATAGTTTAGCTCTGATGAAACTTTAATCACCTTTAAACATGTAAGTGTTCAAATAGTTTAGCTCTGATGAAACTTTAATCACCTTTAAACATGTAAGCGTTCAAATAGTTTAGCTCTGATGAAACATACAAAAAAATCACAGCTAATAAGCTTGATATTTTTGTAAAATTTGAAACTATGTTTGATTTTATTTTACTATTTTTCGTTCTTTAAAATTGAAGTCAACATGGGCGGGCGTTATAAATACCGAAGGTTGAGTTACAGTGTTAATTGTTCGTCTTTGTCACTTTTTCAGCTGTTTCTTTTGATACTTTTCCCCCTGTTCAGTATAATGCGTGTTGTTCCTCTTTAAACCGAAATGATTGTTAATGCGTGACAATTTTCCTCTCTTTGTTGTTTCCACGAGAATTGGGAGCAACATTATCGCTTATAACCCGGGGCGAAACTGATCACACTGCAGACAACTCATAATGATATTATACATGACGTAATGACAATTTCATTTGAGGACCCAAAAAATTAGATAAACGTCAAGTATTACTGCTTCTTGAGCCCTACGGATATCGCTATTGAAATACTAAGAATTCTTCTGAGTGGAAAATAAATACCAATAAAAATAATTAGAAATATTGAGTATAGAAATAAATTTGTCATTTTCTTTTCATTGAAAGGCTAAATGGTAATAGGGAAGATTTAAAAAATTGTATAATTAAGGTTGAATGTAAGTAACTAATAAATGTCACTACTGCACATGAAATTATATTATTACCTAATATCTAAAGATGATAAAAGTTTGAGCGTTAATGCTAAAAATGTTTTAGAGTTTGAAGCTGATAACTGTGGAGGTACAAGATAAGAAATCTTGTTACACATGAAGAGCATATATATATATTTATGTGGTTTGCACATTGTGAAACGATATCAAATATATGATGAATGTTATTTTTTTTATCAAAACGAAGCTAAAAAACACGATGTTTTTTTTGTCATTGTTCTTATCAGCTTTTTAGACAATAGTTATTTCTAGATTTTATTTGAATTTTCTCCTTTGTTGAATTTATAAAATGTAGAGGGAGGACGTTTTCTAACAGTATTTCTTACGAGGCAGTAAACAAAACAGCGATGTTTATTGATCTATTAGTTTACTCATGTGCTCTTGTGAGCTGTACAAGTTTTTAAAAATATTTTCTTTTTATACAAAATTTTTAATTAATCACTCAAAAAAAGAAAGAAATATGCTGACATCCAATAATATTTATTGTTGTAAGTACGTTAAAAAATACTTCTTTAAATACTATGACCATATTAAAGATGCATTTTTCTCGCTGTTCGTAGTAAAACTTTTGTTACGTAATGTTAACTATATGTTTACACATTATTATTTTTTCTACAGAAAATGAATTCAGTTCAATGCTAAATTCATTTGAAAGCAGAATGACCTCAAAGTGTCTTTCAGAGGTGTGTGTATGCAATTACAACTGCATCAGTATTTGTTGTTGAATGTCATAGCTAGTACAAAAAAAATTTTAGATGAAAAAACCCGAACAACTTATATATTAAAACAAAACACTTATTAAATGAAATAGTCTCCATTCTTATCGCTGATGCTTTTCCATCTTATAATCAGGTTGTTAATGCCCTGATTAAAGAAATAACTTT